TTTTCCTTCAATGCATGTATTGAATTTTTACAAAATAAGACTCTGAACTCTGGATGAGTTTCAGAATATGACATTAATAATAATAATCCTTGCATTTGATACAACGCCTTTTCACGTCTTCGAGGAGTCAAAGCGCTTCACGGAACATACTGTACAGCCAATTGGCATCCACCGCAATGTTTAAAACTTTCTAGCTCCTAAATCCATTTTTCTTTCAAAAAAAACTACAGTACTCTAATTTTTGTTGTAAATGTATTTGTTCCCCTTTTGGAAATCCGTCTCCATTGATGAACCTTTTTTGCAGGTTATGGAACAAAAGCAGGAGCTTTCAGCTGAGCCGTTAGATTTGTCTAATTAAATGGAACAAAACAGACTATCATTTTGTGGAACCATAACTTAAATTTGTGTTCTTGATTGATATAAATTTGACAAGTCGCTTCCTCAATAAATCGAGTGCGTTTATGGAAATATTTATTTGATAAAATGGTGACGAATAATTCAGTGAATTTCAAATATTTTCCTAACATAGAAACGACAGGAGACACAGCTTTCAATTTGTTCCATTAATCTGCTATTAAGTTCAGGGGCTCTCTCTGTTGAGAGTTGGTTCAGTCCTGTCTTGTGTTTACAAAATACATTTGTATTGTGTTGGAAAAGATGAACCCAGAATCCTATTTAAATTGTATGGCCGAGAGGTGAACAGATTTCTTGTACTGGTGCGTAAATTGTACCTGGGTTTACTGATGTAAAGTCGTGTAGGAAGGCTAGACTTATGCATGGGATGTTACTGTTATCAACTCAATAAAAAAAGTTAAATTATTTTCGCAACAAATCGTTCTTGTGGAAAGCTTTTATTTTGTTGTGCATTTATGGAGAGAAACCTTACAATTTAAAATTCTTGTTAAACTCAAAAGTACTGATGATGCAAAGTTTACAACTTTACCTGAATTTTGTTGATGAATTTAATTTGGAATCCCAAGTCTTCTGTGTTCAGACTGTCCGTCTACATGTTAAAAAGGTAGAAATTCATTCTTTCATTAAGAATAATGTTTTTGTTAACCATCTAAGGGCTAATTGCTGAAAAAAAATCAGCCAAGAGCCACAAACTCTGACCTCTACCATTTGTTTCTGAGTCAATTCCGCTGCATTAGCAGTGTAGTGAGAATTGAAGACAGTTTCAATGAAACTGAGCTTTGAGATAGCATTCAGCTAATGGCAGTTTAAACCCTCTAATTATCCTTTTATATTAAATGGAGGGTAGCAAATTCCTTGGTAATTCATGTCTGAAAGAATACAATATATTGTTTGAGGTCCCACACTGTTTTACCTTATTGACTTTATATAGTGTGAAACCCCAGTGGTATTTTCCAAAGGCAGTGACAAAGTGGTGCCAAAGGCACATTAAAAAAGCATAAAAGGGGAAGGATGGCAGAGGATTGCACATTGTAATTCAGTCTCCGGGATTTAATGGAGTACTGGTTCTTGAGGTCTTTCCTCTTGGCTTGATGTCTTCTGATCTCTTTGTGTCCACTGCCAAACGTGGATTACTACAGTGTATGTGCCTTTTGCCTTTGTCGCTTCGCTTCTGTTGGTACTGATGCCATTACCAGCAGCGCCGAGTACAATTCTTGTTCATCCTGTAGCTTTCCTTCTTCTCTATTGTAAGTCTGCATGTTGCGTGTGTGTGGGCACGTGTGAGTGTGCCCTACTTGGTCACGTGTATTTTGCACTTGTGGTATGCTCTTAACTTCAGAACAAGTAAAAGGAGCAAGCCATGTGTGCATCGGCATGAGATAAAATTAAAGACATTTTCAACACAGAAGGAAGCTATTCAGTCAGTCTTGATAGCTTTATTTGGCTATTTTTGCTCTTTTCCCCCAGTGAAGTTACACTGAGGCCTGTTGTATTGCCCCAATTACTGTCTATGCTGAGATCATCTTACTCAACATAAAGTTGATGGGACCTTTTTGGCACTCTACAGCTCACAGTGTGTTTGCCCGCTGTGGCAATGGTAGAGTTCTGTGGACTGCTTTCTCTGCATTTCCACTTTTCTGTGTTACGAGCCGTAATTTTTATAGGCTGAATCCTACAGCCTGCAAACAGTGCAGCCTGTGTTTCCTGGAGTGTGTGGGTTTTTTTTTCATGTGTTTGTTCAGAATAGTTCATTTTGGCACAGAGTGACAAATACATAACACCAGTTAGACAGTAATTCTATATGGGAGGGTGGAGTTTCAATTGGCGCACTTAAAACTTTCAACCACTTAGTATTGCACTGAGATTTTAGTTGGGAGACACCCCGAGCCTTTATGATCAAGATTTTTAAACAACAGTTTCTTCAGACTCTGACTTTACTGTAAAATGCTACAGGATCTGAGAGATTTTTTCACGCAGCGAGTCGTTTGGATCTGGAATGCATTGCCTGAAAGGGTGGTGGAAGCTGATTCGATAACAACCTTTAAGAGTGAAGTAGATAGTTATTTAGGGAGGACAAGTTTGCAGGACTATGGGGAGAGAGAGCGGGGCAGTGGGATTGATTTGGAAGCTCTTTTCAAAGAGTCGGCACAGACACGATGGGCCGAATGGCCTCCTGTGCTGTATAATTCTATGATTCTATGATTTTCCTACCATAAAATTATTTAGATATCAATATGAGTTTTCCTGTGGACTAAAAGAGCAGGTAGGTCTTCTAACAGGGCTCAGGTGTTTGGCAAGTACTTGCTAGGCGAGGAAGACTAGGTGAACGTTTTTTGAATGAAAAACTCTCAGCTAGCCGTGGATTGTAAATTTCATTAGTGTTTTTTCTGTGCAAGCTTAATGTTACAGGTGTACAATAGTGTTTAGTATCCTAGAAATGACAGTGCTAAAGTGCATTTAGTCTGTTGAGCCTTTCCTGGTTCAAAATTTGCCACTGGAGATAACTACTCCAATCTCAATCAATGCTTTATCTCCAAGTCATTCTATATTGTGAAAAGTTCCTGTTCACCTCCCCATTAAATCTTCCCGTGACAATCCTTTAGAATTTTAAAGATATTATTTGTGATTTTCTCACACAAGGACTTGAGTTGAGCTATCATGTGTCAAATCACTACCCATTCCTCAATTGGTAATTAATACAGAATATTTCAGGACCAATTTTCCTAAGCAGTACATGCCTTGTCCTTAATAGCATCAATATGAATCCTGTCTTTTCTTGAGAGCATCTTTGATTGTGTCTGATTATCCATCAAAGAGGTGTCTAATAGGGTTGAGCAACTCCACATTTTCCCTTCTGTGGATTGGAATTAACAAGTGGGGCTTCACTAAGCTGACTTCATGCAGCTTTCTGTGGTTGAAATCTAACTTCTGATCATTCTAGGGGTCACTAACTGGTAGAATGCCACCTTCCAATCCATTGCTAAAGTCCTCGTTACTGTATTCCTGGGGAAACGTCCAAGCGACTAATGGGTGTAGGCGTGCAATGTTACATCCTATTCTACTTCTGCCAAACAGCTGCCAAACCAGTGGGAGGGGCCTTGCAGGAAACAACTTTAGGCATTCGAGAAATTTTTAGTCTGACATAGAAACGAGCCCTCCATTGTTAAGTCGAGTATGTGGAATTGGCTGATCAGAAACACCAGGTTAGCATAACCTCCTTTATGCTTCTCAATAATAATTTCAAGCTAAGAGCTCCAACTACATTCCTCCCCCATTCCCTCCTTTCCCTTGGCAATTGAGCTATGCATAAGCTGGATCCACGGTTTCCAACCCCCCAAACGAAATAGGATACGTGATGGTCTGGACTTGGTTTGGGACCGAAATGAAAAATATTTAACAAGATATCAACTTGTGGTGAAGTGTTCTTGTTTATTGTATTATTGCTCGTGAGTTCTGAGGCTTAGCTCCTTACACTTACATCTCTCCCTCAATTTGTTTGATGAGGAAGGGCAGTTGGTTTTAAGACCATTTAGTCATGGAGATAATCTACCTTCTTGGCCCCGTGAAACCATTGTAAAACGTCAGTGACTATCTGTGGCGATGTGAAGTATTGGAACCATAACATCTATTTTAAGAGAATTAATTTTTAAATCCTGAGTGATTGTCAAGACTTTTTTTTATCGCAATCCTGTCACCTCAGACACAAGAAGATTCCGATGAGCTGCAAATGCACACTCGGTGTTTAACAGGCAGTTATGAGGAATTTGGGATTTGCCTCCCAAAAGCTACAAAAAAAAACAGAATATTTTGTAGTTTTTCTTTTAAAAAAGAGCTCGAAGAGTAAGGGAGGGATCAATTAAGCTGAAGATAGGCATTCATTGCTGCATTTTTTAATAGACCACATTGAAGTTATAGTCAGCAATTTAAAAGATTTTGTCCAGGTTGTGGCAGGAGTTTGCTTTGGTTTCCCATTAAATGTTTGGAACCCATTTGGAAGGGTTTTTACCGTTGGCAGTTATGCCAGTAGAGAAATAAATAAATGGCACTGAACCCCCATCTCATTTATTAGGGTAGTATTCAATAACTTCTCTTTAGGTGAGTTTACAATCTGGTATCGCCATTTTGGGGTATTGTTGTATTTGCAGCTTTAAAAACCGGCACTGACGCATCTTTTTTTAAAAAAAAAACCCGCAATTTTTAATTCAAATGTTAAATGAAGTGGAGATGGAGGAACGTAGATTTTTAGGGTTGTGCTATTATTGTAACAGAAATATTTGTAGAGCACTGTTACGATGCATAGTTTTTGCCTCGTTATCAAATTGCTTGTGCTGTTGTATTTAAACATTTCTACACGTAGGCAATATTATTGGGATAAGTTAACTGGCAGACTAGTTGGTTCGCTATACCTCTGGGACTTTCGTGTTAAATGGAACCATTGAGAATATGAGATTGTATGAAGCACTCTGAAATAGCAGCTTATTGAAGCAGACACGTGTACAATTGCAGAATAATGTATTTATTCTTAATTAAAAATCTTAATTGTGTAAGTAATAACATCAATAACGTTCTTTTTCTTTTGGGGCTAGGCTTCGAGACCGCTCGTTCCTTAGCTTTGCACGGAGCTCACGTCATCCTGGCCTGCAGGAATCGCACTCGGGTTAGTGAGGCGATACAGAAGATACTGGAGGAGTGGGTGAGTAGTAGAGCACTGTGCAAGCTGCAGTGAATTCCTCAGCATGCTCGTCAGTCGGGCTGTGGGTCGACCCTCGTTGAGGAGATTTATCTGCCCTGAGTTCCAGACTGATGTTTACTCGATAATTAAATAAAATTAGAAGCCTTGTAATGAAGGTTCCCCCCTCCCACCCCACCGAGAGTTTGTTTCCAGCCTGAGAAGCTTGTTGGAAAATCCTGAGAATAGACACAAACCTGGATCATATTTCCTCCCACCCCAAAAGGCTGTGGATTATGGCTGGATCCATTCCAATTTTCAAGACTGAGGTGGATAGATGTTTGTTAGGTCAGGGTATCAATGGATACGGGGCAAGGACGGGTAATTGGAGTTGAGGTACAGATCAACCATGATCTTCTAGCAGAGTGGAACAGGCTCGAGAGGCTGAATGGCCTCCTCCTGTTCCTATGTAAAGCCGCGGTGGATTATTTTGCCGCTGCTGATTCAACCATCGGAAAATAATGTCAATATGGAAAGAAACGATAATGGGACCTCATTCTAATATGACTATCACTCCTGCAAGGATAAGATACCCTCAGGCAAAACGTGTGAGGTTCCTCTGTAATAAAAATAAAATCACTTGCCGTTGCTTTTGCATTCCACGCTTATCACTGCAGTTTTTAGAAAGCTTTTCATTACATTGCGACTTAAAGGGAAATTGTATAGCTGCTCAGAGAGCCTCAGCCACCTCTAGACATCTGGCACTTTCAGCTCTGGAGAATTGAGCACCAAAAAAGTCCTGGCATCTGTTCAGCGAATGCTTTTGTTGCTGCTGATATTCTGTGTGTATTGCACCAATGCGTGCAGTACAATGAAAGCATCAGTGAGGCAGTGGTCACAAGGGAGACAGAAATAAGTAGGCTGTATGATTCAACGGAGAGTTTTGCATGGATAGAAAGATATTTGAACTTTAACTACAGTTACTGATTTCCAGAGAGAGAAAATTGAGTTTCACACCTTCTTACAGAGATTTGTTCAGTTTCCTTCGCTGTCTTCCCCCATTGAAAATCACCTCCCTGCACACTGCAGCTAAAAGTAAAGGAGTCAAATATTTTGAGGGGTGCATTTTATCAAGCCAGATCTTACCATGGGATAGTTTTAGTACTCTCTGTGTGCGCTCAAGCTCTTTGCATTCGGCGGGTGTGAAATTTCTTTGCTCTCTCCAGTCTCCCTTAGGCATGAACCACATGTGTCTGAAGCTTTGTGCAGTGATCTCCTCCAATGTATCAGTGGCTACACTTATGCGACTCAAATGATAGTTTTCCATCTGTTTTGCACCTTCCTCTTGTCATGTGGCTTTGATCAGGAACTCGGTGGAATGGAAGAGAGGGAAGGAAATCCAAACCACCTCTCATTGCCTGCTGCTTTACTTTTAAAGCTGTAGGTAATGCATTTTTACTTAATTAATGACTTTTTTAAAAAATTGATCTCCTGGACTGTAGTGTTTTTTAAAAGATTTGTAATATATTTTATAGCAAGCATAAGTATGAGGGATTAGTGTCTTCTATGTCAGGTCACTCTGTGCCCCCCCCCCCCCCCCCCCCAAAAAAAACAAACGTGTAAATTCACTTCTAATTATTTTCTGCTTTTCGCCTGTTTGTTTGGATGTGGGATTGTTAACCTTTTCAACTAGACCAGATTGTTTGGTGTTTAGAGGTAATGCAAGCGCTTTGGTGAATCAATTTGTTCTGCATCAGTGTAATAATTTAATTATAATTACAGAAATGTGTTTCGAGCAGAATAAACATGTTAACAACCACTCCTGATTTTATTTTGAGGCCATAGTTCTGTGGTGCACGCACATGGCAGTACTAGGGCAATGTAAATTAGGGTTATGAATTCAATACAAGTGCGTTAGGCAATTTTTTGTTCAGTATTAAACAACCTTGACTGCAGTGGAATTTTCATAGTGAAATTGTTCATAACATCTTACTTGAGGTGGAGATGTGTTTAGTGTTACTTACAAGGCGGGGATGAAATGGAGAGCCCAAATTCAAAATCGGTTACACTTAAATTGCACTCTGCTTTCTTTGCCTCACAAGTGTTGATGAAATTGGAAGTTAGCTTCAGATGATTTGGGAAAACATTGCTTCAACACCTTCGATTGGTCACGGACACGTTTTGTAGAAGAGTTTGGAATAGTTTTGCAATTTTAGCCTATGATTTCTACTGAAGCAGAACTGCAAGTTGCATCAAAGCCACGAATGCAATCCCCAGCATTGTGTTATTCCACCACTGTGCTCCCGACGTGAAAGGCGCAATACAAATGTAATCTTGTTGTTGATGTTGTGCTCCCTCTCTGTGAACATAGCAAGTTTCCTGACCCACCGCTTTGAATTGATAAGATATTTCAATTGTTATCATCCTGTAGTTGATTTAGAATGAACGCCTCTTAACACTATAATTAAGAGGGTCACTTGGTCCACAGAAAATGAAATGTAAAATACAGTTTGAGAGAAAATCCTTGTAAACCGTGCGATTTGTTCGCTGTGTATGAAATAATGGAAAACTTTCCTTTTTGTCTAATATGCGATTGAGGCAGGAGAGGAAGGGATAATTACAATGGGTAGGTACGGAATAAGAGCAGTGTACCCGAACTCGTTTTTAAAAGATGAACTTTGTAAGGTCTTTACAAGATCTTAAACCTGAAAACAGAATGAACTGTCAATGTTCAAGTTCTCAATGGGCTATAACTTGTGATCTGTGTGCACAATCGTAATGGAATGCATTGTTCTTATTTTCAAGTTGCTTGGGAATTACAAGCTGTTATCGTGGGCTTTTAATGAAAAGAACAAAGCAAATGCTAAGAGTTGGCCAGCAGCAACAGTAGCGTGTTCACGATTGGACCGTAGGCAAAGCCTTGATTGCATATTTCTTATGGTATATTATTGAATGGGTTTCCTAAATTTAGAATCAATGTTGTTAAATACATTTCTTGTCTCTGTGAAGCATGTTTATGATAGATTGAGGTCTAATTTGCGAGATGGGTTAATGATGTGCAGACGTATGTGTAAAGAGTGAATTAATGTTGCCGTTAATTATGTAATTACCCACCAATGAAACTGATTACATATGATCCTTTTCATTGGCTAATTATTAATTAAGTCATTACACATACGTTTGCACATGGTTAACCCACCTCACAAATTAGGCACATTTTTGCAAAGATGGGATGAATGTAAATACTCAATAGCAAGGATTATTTTGGTCATCCAACCTGCATATTTTTGGTGGCATTCAATCGCATAAAAGCCATGCAAACTACAAAAAGAGATGTAGGGTCCTGGATTTAGGATGTTCCCTGTACTCTCCTAACTCTTAAACCCAGGAAACAAACAATTCAATTTCTCTGTTTTTGATTTGAAAGCTGAGATGAGAACAATATATCAGACTTCCAAAAGAGTTTAATCAGAATAAATACTCGCCATTTTTTTCTTAAATACTGGTCATTTGGGATTTCAGATTGTTTCGTTATAGATGAATCATTTGTAACTTGGTATATGCAGCTCTTTAAATGCATCTCTATTATAGCCTTGTTGTGGTGTATTGAGGGAGCTAATTAACTTTGATTACTCCACTAATACTATGGCACTTTGACAGTCCTGCAGATTTATGACTATGGCAAAGTAAACAAATGAATTGCAGGTGCTGGAGCAGAAAGAATAAGCTTCTGTATTACAGAACTTTAATTACTAGGAATGTGTAGTCAGGAGAGAATTACTTGATTAATTACAGGATGCTAAAGTTTGCTGCAAAACCTAAGTATTCTGTTAAAATTTGGGGAAAAAATGCTCATTTTGTAATGAAAAAGATCAGATATCAATGTGTACTTTCTTTTTAAAAAAAACTCTTATTCTGTATTTGAAAATGTCATTACTGTACTTGTGAAAGTCTTCTCTGACAAACTGGAGTTGCAGGAGGAATTTAATCCAACCCTGGGTGTTTGCATCTGATTATGAGCCTTGCTGCTCGATTTCTTGCACAAGTTGTTTTTCTTGTGTTGAGGAATGTGGGAGTGGGAAGACAAGAGGAACTATCACAGGACTAGCTGTACGTCCAGAGATGATAAAGCCATGAGTAAAAATCACAACAGTGGTTCAGATGATCTCATCCTTCTAGAATACCCACCGTATTGTTCTATTATAGCATCAAGCCCTTTCCTATGACTACTTTGGCCTCTATCATTCCTCACCTGTTGCAGCTGTTGAATACTCTCCATGTAAAGAAATACTTCCTGGTCTGTCCAAACATTCCACTTGAAACTGTGCCCTGTTGTCCTACTGCTTTGGTGTATCTGAAAGTATTGTTCTGGGAGATGGATTAAATAAAGTAAAGACTGAAAGACTAAAGAGTCAAAGTGTTGTCCAAAGGAACTAAACTAATGGCAAGGTTGCTTCAGCACTGAGGGCTAACAAGTCTGCTAATGGTTACTTGGTCCCTCGCTTGTGTGATTGCTGGAACGTCTCTCAACTAATTCCTGGAAATGGTGCGAGCCGAAGTCACTGCTTAGATAAAAGTATTCGAGAACAATCAACAGAAATAGGCAGAAAAAATATTTAATGTTTTGGTTACAACTTGGCTTTTGATGGAAAGTATCTTAACTTTTAGCATGTGTTCTATTCTCCAGGGGCCCCCACAGCTGAGAGGAATTAAGAACCGAAGCTCAGATCAGCTTTGGAGAATCGGGGTTTGGCAAACGGTTTGAATCTCTGAATCCAAGTTCTGCATTCCAGTTCTTTCCCAGATTTGCGCAGTATTGCTGGGACACTGTACGATTGACCAATAATCATATTGTATGTCCAAGTGTTTGATGGGTGTTGACTGGTAATCCAAATAATGAATGTTTCAAAGTTGACCGGCTTGTGAACAAAAGGGCACTCTTCATCTTTTGCTGCTAAATATCATGGTAAATACTCTTATCATCCCAGATACTGATACACGAGGAAACAGGGACTCCAGCCAGC